ATTTAGGTCAATGTATGTGTCAATGTACGATTGTCATTACTTTATAATATAATAATATTTTTTTAATATACTCAAATAGGGCATGATCGAAACATTGATGCCAAAAACAACTTTCAAATTATTTATTCTCCTCCTTTAAGTTATTCACATCTAAGGTGTAACTCAACATTTTTTTTTTTGGACATCAAATTTAGGTAATATAAGTTCTCTCATAGTATCATAATCAACTATTTGTTTTGAACGAATTTCTTTAAATAGACAAGAGTTTTGCCATTACACACAAGATGGAACAATTTTATTTGGAAAATAAAATATTAACATTTAAGAAAGAAGCAATGCACACAAAATCAATATTTGAATTACAAGTAAGATTCAAAGTTTTTTCTACAATCATAATATACTTTTGAAAAAGTATTAAAAACTTCTTGAGATTGATTAACATTGAGAACTAATTTCTTTCTAGTTGAATCAAATTTTATTTCCTCCATGTAAAGGTTTCAAAATATTTAAGATATTAAAATCATCATCAATACAGTATTGACTTAAAAATATAAATTGGAATATATATTCATTTTCCGATAAGAACTATTATTCTTAATTATTTTTGTTGAAATTTTGATAAGATGATATAGAAAATCAAGACTCATGATTTATGTGAATAGGAAAAGTTTTACCTTACCTCATGGTGGGTGCCAAATGTTCTCACCAAAAAAATTACAATAATGAATGAGCATAAACATGTCGGTTTGAATGATTGTCGCTTTGAGATCTATTGGATTGAGGTTTGCTGAATGTTGGTAAAAGAGAGAAGTTCACCAACAAAGGCACTTTGATGTTTAAGTCAATATAAGAAAAAGAGAATAAACATAATATAAAACTCTCTAAATGAGAACGAGATATAAAGAGTGAAGTAGTCCTATTAATTATGTCTTATAATCATAATACTTATTAGTATAAGGAATATTTTCATAATAAATGTCATGCATTCAAGAATTTGGAAAGTACCAAAATAATTAAAATGTTATAATTAACCATATTTCTTTATTTATCAGATTTCATTATCACATTTAAATTTTTTATTATATTAAAATCTATCGCAAAAGGTTGAAAAAATATAATTATCACACCTTAATGTATGAATCTTGTAAGAAAGTATGATTTATTAACAAGATTTTAACTTCAATAATATATTTATTAAAATCTATGAATGGTTAGAGTTATACTTTCTGAATTGTGATTAATTTTAGTAATATGTTCATTAAATATTATCGTTGTATTGAACCTGAATTGGAGTTATAATGTTACACAAGTTATGTGGTAAAAGAATATTACAAAAATAGCTTCTAGAAATAGGAGTACATTTATCGACGAATGTTATTAGCGGATAAATTCATCACTAAATGTCACGATAAACTAGTAATTATCTACAAATATATTCGTTAATAAGTATCATTGAAAACATAACACCTACCATATTTTACCAACAAACATATTCGTCGATAATTATTGATGGATACATATTTGTTGGTAATTACCCACATCTTATTCCCAATGATATATTTGTCTGTAATTACCAACAAATGAGATGAATATGTAAGGAAACTTTACCAACATCATAATTACCAATGAATTTTTTGTTGTTGAAATTCATCGATAGTATGTACTTACAGACAAATTTTTGCAATGGTTGTCGCTTAAGCATATTATGCAAACATTAGAAACAATACAGTAGAACCTAAATAATTACAACTCCATTCTGATTCATTTGAAAAACATCACTATTATAAACTTTCCTAAACAAATTATATAATTCATTATTTATTTGTTCATCCTCAACCATCTAACATATACAAAATTTCATTCTCACATCACATGTTTAGACCAATTAATTTTATCATACACTAACTTAATTTAGGTTTAGAAAATGCCCCAATCATTGCAACCTTATTCTTGCAAAATAACCCTAGATCATGTTATCCTACCAAATCTAGATCATTTAACCTAAGGTACTACAGAATTTGATTATTTTCCTTTATTTCAAACTTAACTTCCCCATGTAAGATATTCCTAAAAATTTCAAATCTCACATGATCTCTAAACCTATTCAAAAAAAAAAAAAAAAACTCAAGCACATAATTAAGACCCTAGACTAATTAAGATTGATTTTTTACTAAAGAAAACATCATATGTAAGCCTTCCATGTTACATGCAGCCAAAAATCCCACATGATAAACAACCTAGAACAAGGGTAAAAAGAAACTTACTTTAAAGTAGCTTCTATATATATATATATATATATATATATATATATATATATATATATATATATATATATATATATATATATATATATATATATATATATGTGTGTGTGTGTGTGTGTGTGTGTGTGTGTGTGTAAGTATTTTTTAAAGTAAGTGGTTTATAGAGAGAAGATAGTGGTTTATAAGTTTAGAGAGGTAGTGGTTTTAGAGAAATGAAGTTTGAATGGTTACTTTTTTTTATTCAAAACCTTTTTAACTTTAAGGGTAAGTTCAAACTTCATTTAATCTAATCACCTTTACTTTTATACTAGTAAAATCTTGATCTTTACATTCTCCCAATAATAAAACTTTCATCATCGAAAATCACTTACTAGAATAAAAGATAGAAGTATATTTCCCTCATGCTCTCCACTCGATCCTTTGTGGAGTCACCCGACTTGGCATCTCACAACACTTTCATCATGTTAATTTTTCTATTTATGAGTTTCTTTGTATGGTAATCCTCAATTCTGACTGACTTAGTCTCGAATGGCAGTACCTCTTTATCCTACATGTTATCTACTTCCAACACATTATTATGATTAGGAACAAAAATCCTCAATTGACATTGATGAAATACATTATGTAAATTTATTAGCTAAGAAGTCAAAAAATCTCATAAGCTACTAGACCAATTTGCTTAAGAATTTGGTATGGTATAATAAACTAAGAAGACAATTTTATTGATTTAATTAATCTCCATATACCTATGGTAGGCGTAACTCTTAGGTGTTAAAATGATCTTTACAAGTTTTTAATATCAATATTTCAAAACAAGTTCTCACAAAAAATTAATTAAATATGATCTCTTTGTCTCGATGTTTCACCTAATCTGAGTATCTTATAAAACAAGTTCCCTTGTAAAGGTGTTCAACCCAAAAAAATAATACAAATCACACGTAAAAGAGTGAGAAATATATCTCACATATGTTATAGACGCATAAGAAGTCGGGTAGAACTAAACACACCCAAATATCTCCTTACCAACATATACTTAGTATAAACACATTCAATTGACTCAAATGCATTAATGTTCTTATCCTTATAATTATGTGGAACTACACAATGCATTCACATTTGAAGTGATATGTGAGTACATAAACTAAATCATAAAGACTCTTTACCCCGATTTTCAACTAGAATGAACTACCAAGAATAAGTCAAGATAATATAATTGGTCATGATTGTCTCTCATCCCACTCATAGATGAGATGTTCCTTGTTCTAAAATCTCAAAAACCAAGGTAGAAGACCATAAAAACCCTCACCACATCCACCCCCTAGAAAGTATGAATAAATGAAGCATATATACAAAAATTTATAAATCACAAATATATTACTCTTTATATATCTTAAATAAACAAGCATAAATATAAATTACAATAATTCATATTATTATAACTTAAAAGCTCTTATAACATCTCATTCGAATAAATAATTCATCATCACACATTTCAAGATATACTGTCAAATATATACTCGCCTAAAGTTTATACATAGAAAACAAGCATTATACTTGTCAACATTAATGAAAAATATGCTTTATTTTCAACTCACTATAATAAGAGGAACCAATAGTAATTTTGTAAGAAACTGTCACATTAAGTAAAACAATAGTAATTTTGTAATATTTGAACACTTATTATATCGATTATAAAAGGAACCAACATAGTAAGTCACTTACTATGTCGGGTATAATGGAAACTGACATAATAAGTTTAAAGGTGGAGATTTCATAATATTTGACCTAAAAATACTAAGTCAGTTGTACAATGAACCGACATAGTAAATCACTTACTATGTCGGGTATCATGGGAACATACATAATAAGTGTGGTGGTGGTATTTTTGTAATATTCAAACAAAATATTTACTATGTCGATTCTCATTACAACTAAGTGACTTACTATGTTTATTCCTTTTATAACCAACATAGTAAGTATTTAAGATTAAACCATCAAATTTGATCTTTCACGTTGTGATCTCTTCTTCTTCATCTTCACGTAGTCTCTTAATCTTCTTTCACACTATAGTTCTCTCTTTGTTGTTGTGGATGCCCATTACTTATGTTCAAGTTCTAGTTCTCCATCGCATTGTGTTCTCTTCTTTTTTCGCTTCTTGTGGTCTCTTAATCTTCTTCCATATTGCACAATTCTCTCTTTGTTTTCGTTGATGCCCATTTCCTTTGTTCGAGTTCTAGTTTTCTTTCCTCTATTTAAGTTATAATTCTTTTTCCTTTATTCTATATATTGCCTCTTTCCAATATTGCACCCATTGACATTTTCATATTTTGTGGAGCGAGTTTTTATTTTGGTTTGGTATTTGATTTAATTGTTAAATTTATGTATATGATGATGATAAATATGGAGTGATTAAATGCGGCAGGTGCTTACGAAGGTTATAGATATGTGATTGTTAGTGTTCATAGGAAGTGGTTATGCTGGTCTTAGAGATAGTGTTAAATATTCTCAATTATACATATCTCTAAGGCACGTATCCTAAAAGATCAAGTAAGACAACTTCCATGTTCCAAGTTTACTAGTATATATTTAGCTTTTTCTTTACATTATTTAAATATTAGGGTTTAGATTATTGAAATTAAAGAAATTAGGTTAAAGAAAAAGGGGATTGAATGTCTTCTATTGCTGGAATTTGTCATTTGGTAAATGTATCGTTTGGGTCAGTCATTTGGTACAAACACATGGAGAGCATTTTCAAGGTAATACTTCACTAAATGGCCATAAATATTCCAATGTTTTGTGGCCATTAAATATGTTATATTCTCTTTCTTTCCATTAGAAACAAGAAGCTTAAGCAACTTTTTAAGCATTCCATCCATTTCAATAAGTGCAGTCAACATTATTTTGTTGAATATAGTGTTAGACATTACACTAAGCTTTGTCATAGATTCATTCCCCCATCATCACCATAGTGGCATGTTATCCTAAAAGCCCTCTTCAAGGAATGTAATGCACTTAAGCTCCCATTTTCTTTAATTGATTTGCACCATAAATCAACCATAAAAGTAGTTATAACTTCCTTAGAGGATTTTTGTTTTGTCTTTTGAATCTCATCCTCACTAGCCTTTCATCTAGTTGTGGATATCTATCTTCTCTGTCAGTACCCAAATCTTCCTATAGAAAAGAAGCAAAATAATTAAATAGTTTTTAATACTAAGAAAGTACAAATTAAGCTTATTTAGAATTTTGTATAAGTAAGAAAATTACAAAAGATCAACACATATTTTTAGGATATTCAAATAAGGGTTTACTAAAAGAATAACCCTTTGAGAAATTCATTCCAATTGAAGAAAATTAAACGAGTATGGTTGTAAAATCTTAATAGACAAAGCTAAATGGTGAATTTATTTTAACAATAATCTTCAAAATTCAAGAAAAAAGGTAGACAGATATAATTATAGGAATTTGCATCTTTTGAAGAAAAAGTAGTACAATAAATAAAATGCATCATTACTTTAGAAAAAAAGGGAGAAATATGATAGTGGTGGTGGCGGTGCATATAATAATAAAGAGTTGAAACAATAAAAGAGATTTCGTTGAATTAATAGAATTATGCATCAATTAGAGATCATGAACGTAAATCCAATCATGTAACAGGGCAAGGGCATAACCTTGAAAATATGGAGATTCCTTTTCAACCAATTCACCAAAAAACACACAGGAAGCATCATGAAGTTTCTTGTCTTGGTTAAAGGATGAATAATAAGATTTAAGTATAATTAGAAGGTATGTATAACTAGCAAAAATCCAAGAAATATGAAGACACTACCTTATTGTGAGGTGACTTCCCAAAATATAACAGGATGAACATCATCATAACCTAAAGGAATTATTAGTCTAAATGAAAGAAAACCCTATGTAAGGGAATTTTAAATTTGCAAGGATTGGTGGGCCAGTATTCCATTATGACATAAACCAAATGAAATCTATATTTCCTTAGATGTCACACTGCCACAAATATGTCTCTTAAGGAAAACCCAATGTTTGTTTCACAATCAAAATAATTATTTTTGGATTTTCCATGAATAAACAAGAAACATTAGGTCAAATAAATAAGAAACTCATTCAATTTTGAAATGCCTATCTTTTATCTTTTATCTTTTCTATAATCTCTATATCTCAACTCCCTCACCTCACTCACTCACTTCCAATTGAAGCTTAAAAGCAATGAGTACTAATTTTTCTTTTGGTTCAACCTCCTTAAATGTGTTAACCAAGTCTAAAGACTCTACTGATAATCACCTTAGAGTGTTGATTCCAGTTCCACTTATGCATTGAGTACTCTCTTTCCACATTAAATATGTGTACCATAAACTTCGAACGATTTGACCCTCAATATTTCGAAGCCAGTAGGAGGTCACTCAACATATACCAAAGTCAATTTTCTCTAATTATTGTGTAAATTGTGTTAGTAGCTTTCGAGATATGCATGGGTGGAAATGTTTAACTTAAGGCTCAATGATTGATATACACTAACATCATTGTCACGTAGTTCCTCCAATTTATACTTTCACACCCTAAGTCAAGTTAAGACATTCACACTCCTAAGAATTGATTTTTGACTTTTTTACACATACCATATATTAAATAGTTTTAATAGTTTATTTTATACTTACTTATAATTATTGTAATAGATTAATCAAAACTAATTATATAAATAACTTTTTTTAGTTTTAAGAACTTAACTTATTCATGGACCGAAGTTGGAACAATTTTAGACATACAACCGATAAATATGAGAAGAGAACTTACGAAACAAATGTTCCATATAATAATGCAATATTCAATTGCCCTTGTGTTAATTGTTTAAATGAGTAAAGACTACCAATAGAGCTTATACGTGAACATGTCCTATGTGATGGCTTCCTAAGGAGTTACACAAAATGGACATGACATGGTGAATTAATAGACATGTTAAATGTACATGTGTCTAAAATAGAAATTAATGTACAAATGGATGATCGACTTGAAAAAATGATTTGTGATGTTGGACATGATGCATTCCAGCGTGCACATGTGTATGATAATTTGTGCAATGATGCAGAGAAACCTTTGTCTCCCAGATGCACTAATTTCACACCATTGTCAGTAATATTAAAATTATTCAAAGTGAAGGCAAGAAATTGGTGGGCTGATAAAAGTTTCATAGAATGACTTGAGTTGCTTAGTGACATGCTTCCTGAAGGTAACCCACTGTTGACACATAATATGGTGCAAAGAAAATATTATGTCCAATGGGTATGAAGTATAAAAAAAATACACGCATGTCAAAATGATTGTATATTATATAGAAAAGAGTTTGAAAAATTACACCAATGTCCATAATGTGGTGTATCACAATACAATCAAAGAGATGGTGATTCCAAATTTAATGTTAAGAATGGTCCACCTACAAAGGTGTTGTGGAATTTTCCTATAATTCTAAGGTTGAAAAGATAATTCATCAATTCAAATGATTTAAAACTAATAAGATGACATGCAGATGAGCGTAGGAGAGATGTTCATCTAAGACATTCAGTAGATTCTTTGCAATGGAAAAAAATTGATTCCATGTTCCCAAATTTCAGTAATGATCCAAGAAACATTAGGCTTGGAGTTGCTACAGATGAAATGAATTCATATGGAAACTTAAGTAGTAAACATAGCTCATGGCTTGTGTTGTTAGTAATTTACAACTTACCTTTGTGGTTATGAATGAAACATAAGTAATTCATGTTTATTTGCTTACATTACTATTACACTTGAGACACATTTGCTAATATGTGTATTCAAATGTTTATGTTTTAGGATAAATTGGTATAGCAAAGCACACAAAGATCATTTATTTCACAAGAGTGTGAGGATATATAGGTTCTTGCCATTGGTCGTCCAGAGTATCCAGGTCATATTCGTGTTGTTGGACGAGGGGTGGGTATCCAACAATTCTTCAATACTTCATCTTAACAAATTAAAAAATCGCAAATCAGTGACACCCAAAAGGATGTTCTAAAAAATGAGCTTAGAAAATAATTATACTCCAAATTAAAAGTAGAGTTAATGTCAGACATGTGAGTACAATTAGCATCCATGAGAGTCTCCACTTAACCTTCTACTGCCCTTGCACCTTCGCATGTTGACCTTGATAGATTAGGGGAAGCTGGTGTTGACGCCCATATTGATTGCGATTTGTACATTGATGATCCTCCCGAATACTTAGTTGCCTTAGGTAAACATTATTATAATTATATTTTTCATTTTGCATTTGATCTATTCTAATTAAATTTATGTGCTCTCTTTAGGTAAAATTTATACATTAGGATCAACCATTCACCACCAAACGATTCAAGACAACATGACATGTGCTTCATCACACAATATTCATACTCATTATCATTTTTGTATTTTGCAACATCCACATCAATAAGAAAACCATGAGTGTTAATAAAATGTGATGAAACACATCACACAATCATATTTGCTAACATTATTGACTCATGGAAAGAGATAATATAAAACAAAACATAAATTTATGTTTTTCTATATCTTTTAAATGTATAATGTAACATCATCCTATTTTATAATTGATAAGAACTTCTACATGTGGATTGTTTGATGTAGTTTTTACAACAATTTACAAATGACAAACATGATGGACAATGTTGTAAAAGCATAATGGACTAATTCGTGGAAATTTGTGCAATATTGTTATCATTACTTCTAACAATGATAACTTTTCTCCCTATGTCTCTTCAATCAAATTCACTTGGAATGGAAAAAAGAAAATAACTACAGTAATTATTCAACCATTGCCATGTTAACACTTGTATCTTCTCCAATATTTGTGTTAGATCTATGGTAAAGACCAATTCGTCCATGCTTTTCCAAATTACCCTAACAATATGATATTCCACTTATAATTTTCTTGGCAACACCAGTGATCAAATCATCGAGTAAAATGATTAATCAAATTTAAAGTCTATGTAATGGATATATCACTCAACCCAATACAATATGCCACAATGAGGTATATTTCTTGCATCAGAAAAAAAAAAATATTGACAATACTATTTTAAAATGTAGTCAATAATTTGTAATATGTGATGTTACTACCCAAGTTTCAATGGTGTTAATTTAGTTTATAGGTATTAAGTAATGTAAATACGTGATTTTAGTATTTTACATTTAAATTGATTTTTGTAAATATTTCAACTTTACAACTTAATAATCTTTTATCAATTGAATTTTACAATTTTACAATCTTTTAAATTAATATATATATATATATATATATATATATATATATATATATCATTCCATACTTTATTATCTTTGCTTAGAATATTGTCAATGGATTTGAAATATAATGTGAGGTTGATTTTAATTAATGTTTTCAAAACTCATACTAGGTATGCATTCTCGCCTTTTCCTATCCCCTATTTTGTTTTTTCAACGGTGACTTCAATAACAAGTTCTCGCAACTATGAAAGATGCTTCCTTGGGAAAATTTTCCAATCTAAGGAACCATGAGGTTTATGGCATGCCTTCTCTATGCTGCACTTATATGTTTATATGCAATTCAAAGCACGACATGTACTAGAATGATTGCCAATATGATATGGATAATCACATATCTCATACTAAGACATATTTTACATATATGCATGTTTTCTTGTTCATTTGCTTTGTCTAAACCATTACTCTAATTTTACCTATAAATTAATAAGAACAAAAGGTTTAAAAGATCAATGTCTTTATCATTTGTCCTTTATATAAATAAGTATACCTTTTGTTCTCCTCTTTCCACTATGATGACATGATGTTGATATGATTCATTACTTTTTTGTTTTTAATTATTTATTGA